AAGATTAAGATTATTAGATTATAGCCGATCTTACCCGTTTTATCAAGTGCAAGAATGTCCCTTCTCTTCTAAGATTAATTAGAAAATTTTTAGATATCTGCTTACCACACCGGGATAACAATAATTAAGACTAACTGCAACCACTAACCAGTGCATAGTACCACTAAGTGATTAATAAATGTTTTTGTAACTCTTTGTGGTTTCTTCTTCAGGTTTACTAAATTCGAAAAATAAGCTGGATCTTCCAGAATCATTCATAAATATAAATTCAAACATAAAATCGAACATTAAGACGAAAAGTTCGAATAAAGCAAACTTATGTGCATGCACTCTTCATGTCAACTTTATATATGAAATACTCGTATACACGCATGCCACCTATCATAGGATAAATGTACTATGCCAGAAACCTTTATGGGAGTATATTAAACAACTTCCCAAAGTTTTGTGGCAATTGGATAAATGGTGTGGTAATGCATAAAGGACACACAGACATACATTCATTTTTATATATATAGATGTGACAGCAACATCATGTCATCTTTTTTCTTATCTAACAAGGAATCATTAATAAAATTCTAAGATTGATTACCCACACAAAAAATCCCCTTTTATTGGTTCAATTTACAATTTCAATTCCATTTTGACTAAGTGACTCAGTTGCCAGTCAAAAATTCATTACTATAATTTTTGTAATTTTTCCTCAAAGTGATCAGTTGATAAATCTTTTACAACAGTTCCCTCAGTCTACATTCACATCAATCATAGACAATCAAGAAATCAGGTGAGATAATTTGTAATTCTCTCCTTCCTTACATTCAATGAATATAAAATGTCAGAAGTCAAGACTAAAATATAAAGATTTTATGAAGATTGTTGGAAGTGTAAAATGTTGAGTTAGTAGAATAAGTATTTCATACTTCTGTAAAAGAGTGTTGTCACTTTCTGTCACCATCTATGTGACACTTTGACTAAGGTGTGTCACATAGTCCAATGCTGGGGTTTGCAACATCTGCTGCTTGGGATGGCAGTTACTTTACAAAGTGTAGAAACTTCAGAAGACCTAATATTAGACTTTTTGCAGATATAAGTTTGAAATTAACTATCTATATTTGTAATTATTAATAAATAAAATAATTCATAAAATTTTTATTTTGATAGGCAGCAACTTCTCCTCTTCATTCTCTGCTTTTTCAATGTGAATACATAAAACTAAGAAGTGAATTTTTACAAGCTCATCTTCAACTATTAGATTCATCCTCATGCATTAAGACTTCCCCTCCACCGGCAATAGCCGCTGCAGTTGCTATTGCCGCAAGAGACGAGCTACAAAAATCTGGTCGTGTGGTCACTCAAGTAATGTCATTTGTTTTTATTTATTAAAATTTTTAAATATTTAATATAATTGGTGTAATAATTTATCAAATGTATGTTTAGTTAAGAAAATGTGCCAAAGAATTTAGAGGTCTTGCAGAACAGTATGGAGTAATTTATCAGTCAGTATTTGATGCTGATCCCAAAACACTCAGCAATATCCAAATGTATCCTTTCCTTATATAACAATCCTGAGCTTAGAAGGAGCTCTATGGTAGATATTCTAATTATCTTAGCCGGGGTGATCCTTTCTAAGATAATTAACAAAACTGTATCAAACTGTTATATGTTATATAACTGACTTATAGATGCTTCTGTAAAGAGATAGAATAGTTTATGATTAACATACAAGACCAGGTCACAAATACTAGAAACTACAGAAAGCATATTTTAAAGGACATAGCACTTAAGGTGACATTTGTAGGAAATACTCCATCATGCACAAAACTACACAACACATCATATCAGCTTGCAAACTTTTAACACAAACTGACTATTTACATCAACATAACCAAATAGAAAATATAATATATCAAAAGCTTGCATACAAACACAAACTACTACATACTCGGGAACCATACTACAAATACACTTCAGATGGTAATAAAAACCAACACACAAAACACACTATGACTGGTCATATTATATTTTGTGTTCACAGACAAAACAATATGAATCTTCTTTACAGAAGAGAATATGCTTAAATTATATTAAATAACTTGAACATTTAAACATTTAATTTATTAACATATTGTTTAATCTCACTGATAATACAAATAAATTAATAATTACTTAATATACAATGTGATTCACTGGTGATGTTCAGTAGTTTTTTCTTGGAGATCATTAGAGATAAGAAGATGGAACTAATAGAGCAGACAGGTAATTTTGATGATGTTGGATGACCTTGAAAATTACATTTTTGAGATGCAGAACAAAAGACAATTTTTTGTAAATTATAAGAGGAGTGCTTTTGAGCCATTAGTATGCAACAAAATAAATATCTTCTGTAATAGGTCATATTTTCTTAAATCTAACAGTTTTAAAGATATTGACCATTTTTTTTCTAAAAAACTGATTTCTCTTTTTCTTGAAAGTTTTTATGCTGGGAACTAAGTTTATCAGTTTATTTATAAAATTAGTCCCCCTGTCTGCTCTATAAAGTTGGTTATTAGTCCCATCTTCTTATCGCTAATGGTTTCTGAGAAAAACTATATGATAGAAACATGATAGTAACAAGCAATTATTTATTGTGACATCATCCCAATGCTGGGCTGCAATTTTTAATTTATATAATTTAAAATACATGCACTCCACCTCAAATTAGTAGTGGCTTGCTCCCATACATCATACTTTCCTTTAACAACAGAGCAATGTCAGTCATCTATCTAACTCCTTTTGGAAGAAAATTTTTGAATTGGATTAACATGACTTCCAGTTTGCATCAGAAGTTTGTGTATATTTAATCAGGGCCTCCTACCCCTAAGGTCTCCATATCTGGTCTTGTCTTTCATTTATCTAACTCCATTCTAGAGATTAAGGAAAGACAGGTGGACGACAGTGGGAATTTATAGATCTACAATTTTTTCAAATTGCAGCCCAATGAAAGTACATTTCAAAATTTACTTAAATTAGATACTGAAAATGTCTACCTTCTTGGTGTATACAGCAATTTATTCTTCTAGGAAAGGCATTTAATACATTTCATAATTTAAATCTATTAATTTTATGAGAACTTTCCTGAGTTCTGATTATGTTTTTTTGTAGAAAGATGCTGAAAGTAAACCATTTCTTTAATTTAATTGGTCTTCATGAAGACGGGCATAAAGATTTACAGTCTGTGAGTAATTTTGGTGAAATGCACCTAAATCCATTGACATATCAAATGCTTCTCCATTTGAATAATCCATTTTAATGAAATAGAGAAAACAAGTAAATACACAAAAATGAAAAAGATCATTCCAAAAAAAGACACTCCTTCATGCCTTTGAAAAAGTAGCAAAGAATTCAATTTATTCAAAGCCTGCTTGTTCAATTATCTGATACAATAAGATAAAGAATGAAAATGGATAAACTTAGTTTCCAACATAGAAACTTTCATAAAAGAAGAAATTAGATTTTTAGAAGAAATTGGTCAATAACTTGAAAACCATTAGGTTTAAGAAAGTGTGACATATAAAAGGTGTGTATTTATTTTGTTACACAATATCCATATAATGGGTCAAAAGCACCTCTTAAAATGTAAAATTACTCTATTTTGTTTTGTATTTCAAAACTATTGATTTTCAAGGTCATGCAAGGTCACCAAAATTATCCCTCATATTGATTATACCCATGTTCCTATCTCTAATGATTTCCAAGAAAAACTACTGAATGCCACAAATGAATCACCCTGTATATCTTATATATTTATTAAAATAATTATTTTGATTTTAACAATTAAGTAAAATGTGAAACAATTTAAAATTTATATTTTTTGTATTTGTGATTGAGAAATTAATTTTGTTTTTATTTCTGAAAATCCAGTTTAAATTAATAATTTCATATAAAGGCTTATTTATTTTTAACATTTTAAATCAGATTGCAACAAAGTTGTCTTTTATCTGCTCAAGCAATAGAAAGATTAGTTCAACATAATCATGGATTAAGGTATAGTATTATTGTTTTTACAGAAACTTTTCTATTATTATTGATATTGGTATTTTTAAATTTAAATAATGTTTTACCGATGATGATAATAGATAGTAGATTTAATGTTGTTCTATACTATAGTTTCATCACAAAATTATTTCTTGCTGTGCAGAAACTAAACACTGTGATTGATAATTTTGCTATGCAAACAAATCTTTATTAGCAAAGAGGAAAAATTTTGTTACATAGATAATGTACAGTTACATATTTTAAGTAACATTCAATACACCTACATTAATTACTTTATAACATATTCTTGGACTTTTTCAACAATTTTTTTATCACAATTAATCCAATAAATTTATCGAAAGGAAGTGTATAGGTTTTATAATTCTGTCTCAAATAACTTATTTTGGTTGTCTGAATTATTTATATTATTTCTTGCAACAACACTACATTACAAATGTAAAGTTATGAAAGCTTATACATTACTTCATCAGTATTAAAGGCAATTATATAAATTGTAGAGATAATTTTTTTTAAGATTATTTAGAATGATTCTAAAATTTTGAGGTGCACTGCACTGGAACATCTATGGTATACTTTATGTTTCACGTATATCCGAAAGTCCTTCACAATCCTGTAGCAGGTGAGACACTGAAAAGTCTTTTGAACCACACCAACAATACTGTGTACCTGAAAACCAATAAATAAATAGATTTTCTGTTAAGTTGTATGAATGATGGTAAGATTTTATTAAATTTAGTTTGCCATAGTTGGGTAGACTTTAATTTTCTACTTCACTTAATTATTTTTTGATGCAGAAAAGATATATTATCATTACTCTTGAATTTTAATTGGTAGTAGAATTTATTATTCATTTTAAAAAGAAAGGAAAAACCAAATACAATTGGTTTCATGATGGATGGCATAACCAATATGTTCTTTCTAATTGAAGTAATCTTCAAAGAAAATAAACATAAAATTGCTCCAATCTGTATAAATAGTCAATCCTAGACTGGGCTTGCATAATAATTGGATTTATCAACAACTTGTATAATTTATTACGTAAGTGTGGATTTGATATTTTTAAAGTCGAACATAAATATAGCAGGTTATCAATTGCTATCTTCACCTGATTATTTATCAATAATTTTGAAACATGTTATTTAAAACTAATATTCCAGTCAAAGGTCACTCCACCCCTAAGGTCTCCATATCTGGTCTTGTCTTTCATTTATCTAACTCCATTCTAGAGATTAAGGAAAGACAGGTGGACGACAGTGGGAATTTATAGATCTACAATTTTTTCAAATTGCAGCCCAATGAAAGTACATTTCAAAATTTACTTAAATTAGATACTGAAAATGTCTACCTTCTTGGTGTATACAGCAATTTATTCTTCTAGGAAAGGCATTTAATACATTTCATAATTTAAATCTATTAATTTTATGAGAACTTTCCTGAGTTCTGATTATGTTTTTTTGTAGAAAGATGCTGAAAGTAAACCATTTCTTTAATTTAATTGGTCTTCATGAAGACGGGCATAAAGATTTACAGTCTGTGAGTAATTTTGGTGAAATGCACCTAAATCCATTGACATATCAAATGCTTCTCCATTTGAATAATCCATTTTAATGAAATAGAGAAAACAAGTAAATACACAAAAATGAAAAAGATCATTCCAAAAAAAGACACTCCTTCATGCCTTTGAAAAAGTAGCAAAGAATTCAATTTATTCAAAGCCTGCTTGTTCAATTATCTGATACAATAAGATAAAGAATGAAAATGGATAAACTTAGTTTCCAACATAGAAACTTTCATAAAAGAAGAAATTAGATTTTTAGAAGAAATTGGTCAATAACTTGAAAACCATTAGGTTTAAGAAAGTGTGACATATAAAAGGTGTGTATTTATTTTGTTACACAATATCCATATAATGGGTCAAAAGCACCTCTTAAAATGTAAAATTACTCTATTTTGTTTTGTATTTCAAAACTATTGATTTTCAAGGTCATGCAAGGTCACCAAAATTATCCCTCATATTGATTATACCCATGTTCCTATCTCTAATGATTTCCAAGAAAAACTACTGAATGCCACAACTGAATCACCCTGTATATCTTATATATTTATTAAAATAATTATTTTGATTTTAACAATTAAGTAAAATGTGAAACAATTTAAAATTTATATTTTTTGTATTTGTGATTGAGAAATTAATTTTGTTTTTATTTCTGAAAATCCAGTTTAAATTAATAATTTCATATAAAGGCTTATTTATTTTTAACATTTTAAATCAGATTGCAACAAAGTTGTCTTTTATCTGCTCAAGCAATAGAAAGATTAGTTCAACATAATCATGGATTAAGGTATAGTATTATTGTTTTTACAGAAACTTTTCTATTATTATTGATATTGGTATTTTTAAATTTAAATAATGTTTTACCGATGATGATAATAGATAGTAGATTTAATGTTGTTCTATACTATAGTTTCATCACAAAATTATTTCTTGCTGTGCAGAAACTAAACACTGTGATTGATAATTTTGCTATGCAAACAAATCTTTATTAGCAAAGAGGAAAAATTTTGTTACATAGATAATGTACAGTTACATATTTTAAGTAACATTCAATACACCTACATTAATTACTTTATAACATATTCTTGGACTTTTTCAACAATTTTTTTATCACAATTAATCCAATAAATTTATCGAAAGGAAGTGTATAGGTTTTATAATTCTGTCTCAAATAACTTATTTTGGTTGTCTGAATTATTTATATTATTTCTTGCAACAACACTACATTACAAATGTAAAGTTATGAAAGCTTATACATTACTTCATCAGTATTAAAGGCAATTATATAAATTGTAGAGATAATTTTTTTTAAGATTATTTAGAATGATTCTAAAATTTTGAGGTGCACTGCACTGGAACATCTATGGTATACTTTATGTTTCACGTATATCCGAAAGTCCTTCACAATCCTGTAGCAGGTGAGACACTGAAAAGTCTTTTGAACCACACCAACAATACTGTGTACCTGAAAACCAATAAATAAATAGATTTTCTGTTAAGTTGTATGAATGATGGTAAGATTTTATTAAATTTAGTTTGCCATAGTTGGGTAGACTTTAATTTTCTACTTCACTTAATTATTTTTTGATGCAGAAAAGATATATTATCATTACTCTTGAATTTTAATTGGTAGTAGAATTTATTATTCATTTTAAAAAGAAAGGAAAAACCAAATACAATTGGTTTCATGATGGATGGCATAACCAATATGTTCTTTCTAATTGAAGTAATCTTCAAAGAAAATAAACATAAAATTGCTCCAATCTGTATAAATAGTCAATCCTAGACTGGGCTTGCATAATAATTGGATTTATCAACAACTTGTATAATTTATTACGTAAGTGTGGATTCGATATTTTTAAAGTCGAACATAAATATAGCAGGTTATCAATTGCTATCTTCACCTGATTATTTATCAATAATTTTGAAACATGTTATTTAAAACTAATATTCCAGTCAAAGGTCACTCCTAAATAGTTAATTTTTTAAAATTTTTGGAGAGGTGTATTGTCAAGCTAAATTTTAGATTTTTTTTGTGATACTTTACTATTATTGTGGAAAATAACTATCTTTGTTTTGTTAGGATTTATTGTTAGGTGAAATAATTTGAGATATGAATTTAACTGATTAACTTTTTTCTGCAAGGAAACTTTGGTTGGTGTCACAATAGTTAAATCGTCCACAAATAGAATATAATGAATATTACTGTTAAGTTGATCAATTCAAATTAAATAATAATTAAATAAATATGGCAAGGGTGGATCACCTCGAAGGAAGGGGATAAGTTATTTCCTTGTATAATTTTTATATTATATTCCGAGAATAATTTTGATACTAATGAAGAAAATTTTTCTCCTGCTCCCCTAGCTCTTAAGTTGTACACTAGTAAAGCTTTTTGAAGGTTTTTAGAATGTCACTATACTATCAAAGGCTTTCTGAATGTTTATGAAAGCTGTGTATAATTTTCTATGCTTTGTAGTTAGATGTAATTGTATTAACAACAATAGTGAAGTTGAGGCCAAAGTTTTAAACGCGAAAATGTGTACATCGGACGTTCAGGTTTTTGTGTTTAAAACTTCGGCCTCAACCTTGCTAGTAACAAAAAAGTTGCTGATTTTGTACTTCTACTTCTTGTATATGTATATTGAAATTTTGATTCTATGCTCATTGTCCATTGCTGAAATTTTTTTTGTCATTATTACCATAAAGCATTTTCTGAGTTGAAAGAAGAGCTACTAGTCTGTAATTATTAGGGGATAATTTATTTCCCCTTTTGAATAACATAACAAGCCAGACTGAGTTCCATGAAATTGGGTATGAGGTTGCATCATACATTGAATTAAATAAATCTAGTACAGTAGAGCATCGTTTATCCAAATCAATTTATGGGGTTGNTTTTACTGTTATTGTTTTGTTAGGATTTATTGTTAGGTGAAATAATTTGAGATATGAATTTAACTGATTAACTTTTTTCTGCAAGGAAACTTTGGTTGGTGTCACAATAGTTAAATCGTCCACAAATAGAATATAATGAATATTACTGTTAAGTTGATCAATTCAAATTAAATAATAATTAAATAAATATGGCAAGGGTGGATCACCTCGAAGGAAGGGGATAAGTTATTTCCTTGTATAATTTTTATATTATATTCCGAGAATAATTTTGATACTAATGAAGAAAATTTTTCTCCTGCTCCCCTAGCTCTTAAGTTGTACACTAGTAAAGCTTTTTGAAGGTTTTTAGAATGTCACTATACTATCAAAGGCTTTCTGAATGTTTATGAAAGCTGTGTATAATTTTCTATGCTTTGTAGTTAGATGTAATTGTATTAACAACAATAGTGAAGTTGAGGCCAAAGTTTTAAACGCGAAAATGTGTACATCGGACGTTCAGGTTTTTGTGTTTAAAACTTCGGCCTCAACCTTGCTAGTA